CGGCCGAATCTGAAATTGATTGATGATTTGTGATCCTTAGAATTAATGCATTTCTATGGCATATTTAATTAAAATGTGATTTGGTATAATTTAATTAGATTAAATTGAGTAATCAAGAATGTTAAGCTTATTTACCTAACTACCCCCCTTAGTGGCCACTTTCTTACACATATTTGAGCCTTATTATATACTTAGGCACACAATTCATCAGTCATTCTCTTGTTATTGCCGACCATAGAGAGAGAGAGACTAGAAGAGTTGATTTCATCTCACTTTTGCTTGTGAGTTGCTTGGAAATTGAAGAAGAAATTGCATATTTGAGCTTCCCTTCCTTGAATTGGAGACTTAAGGTAGAAATTCATCTTCTTGCATGGTTTAGACCTAGGTTGGAGACTAGAGCCAACTTATGGCTCAAATTGTTGTGTTGAAGCTTAATTGTTGCATGCATGTTTAAATTGTTGAATTTGAGTTGATTCCATGGAGAATTGTCTCATGCATGCTCATGGTTATGTTAAGTCCATGTTTTCATCTTATTTTTTGAACAATTGGCTCCTTAGAGCATCAAATTGAAGCTTTGAAATGATTTAAATTCATGCATGTTTGCATGTTCTTCATATTCATGGAAATTGGTTTGAATTGGATTTATTTGAAACTCCCTTGGGCTTTGATTTTACAAATTGAGCTTTGAATCATGTGAAAGTATGAGTTTTGATGTGTTTTCTGAAAAATTGGCCCAAGAGGATCGAAATTTATGGTTTAAAACTTGGTTTTGAGCTTGAGGTTCAAATCTGGAATTTCTAGAATTTGGACTCACGCTCGAGCGGGGTGACTAGCGCTCGAGCGTGGAAATCGTGCTCCCAGTATTTTGTTCTGTTTTGAGGTCCGCTCGAGCGGAATAATTGACGCTCGAGCGGGACATTGTGTCTCATGCTCGAGCGGGTGTCGAGCGCCCAATCGAGCGTGTTTTTCACCTATCCAGCACTTTTGACTGTTTTGCAGAACGCTCGAGCGGGTAAGTATACGCTCGAACGGAAACCTTTGTCTGCATATCCGCTCGAGCGGAGTGATCTACGCTCGAGCGTAACCCCTGTTTTCTGAAAAGTCTGAAAATGCTTTTAAAGTGCATCTTTGCATCCTCATCTCATCCTAGGCATTCTTAGGCCTAGTTTAAGGCGTCTTAACGAGGATATAAATGTAGAACACACCGAGGCAAATTAGGGATTAAGTTATTATTTTCCCAACTGTGTAGCTTAGTGTGTGTTCGATCTGTAACTGTGTAGGGTTGGCGACTGGGGACGCACTCTAGCTTACTGTAGCCCAGAACTCTGTGAGTAGCAACTGTGTAAAGATATGTTCAAAATGATTATCTTCTGAACAATTGAACTGTACTGCTTTCTGAACTGTTACTGTTAATTGAATGAATGTATGTCCTATATTCTGAACTGTATTGTGGCATCCTTAGCAACTACTGTTTACTGTTACTGTTACAGAAATCTCTGTCAGTTCCCTCGTTGGAACCACTACTGTTACTGATTGATGGCCATCATTTACTGCTCGGTCCTTTAAGGCGTACGGTTTACTATACTGTTATGCTAATGGATGTACCACATATGACTGCACTGACTGAACGACTGAAATACTGATTTAATGAACTGTTTTCGTTACTGTAAGGACATTCATTCTTAACCCCTTTACGCATTGTGTTATTCACTGGGCTTTAGCTCACTACTCATAGATATATGTAGGTGTCCAAGCACCAGACCGCAGCTAGGAGCGTCGGGGTAAACTCCAGTTTTGTCGAGCCAACCTATGTGCCTCAATGCGAGGTTCCGAGCCTGTCAAGTTATGGCTTAGGCATGTTTTAGTTCCCCCTTCTGTCTCTGTAACTGTTTTGTTTACTGTACTGTACTGTTTAACAGGGATTAGGTCCCCGAACTGAATGATTATACATATGTACATACTGTTTTGTCTGACTGTATATATTTGGATGAAAAGTCTTTTGCATACAGACTGTCACAGCTCATTGGACATTGTTTATTTACTGTATTGGCTTCCGCCAGGCCCTGTATTCTGTATTACTGTATTACTGTTAAGCAGGCCTTCGGTAATCTTGGATTACTGGCCGGTTACGGTGCTAAACCCATAGGAGCGGGTTTGGGTCGTGACACTAGGCATGCAATATGAACATGAAGACAAGTATGCTAGGCACATAACCTAAGCTAGCAAGCATGCAGGCATGTAATAGCTATGCTAATGATCAATATGCAAGATGTAATCTAATCATGCAAGTGTGTAAGGCATGTAACATGTTATGCAACCTAGTCAAGGAAATGTGTGCCAAATGCAAGTGTCACTTAAACATGCAACAACAATACATGGTAAGTCAAGTATGCAATCAACACACAAGGTGAGTATGCCACAACATGCAAAGGAGGGACTTACACTAATTTGGACAATTCTCTATTAGGCCCAAAACAGTGGCCAAATGCTATGGAAATAAGAAGCAAAACACACACAAGCATGCACATGTTAAGGCCTAAACACTTAAGCATCAAGAAGCAACTTTTAAGAACACTTAAAAGGGAATAACCATGGACATATGGCATACATAATAAGCTTTGAGAACATGTAGGAAATGATGCCAAATCAACCTGCCAATGCAAGCTAGGCATGCAACCAAGCCCAAGGACCTAAAATATGATCATATGACACACGAAGCAAATGACCAAAATGAACCAAAACAGTCCTAAATCATGCAAAAGTAAGCCCTAAGAACCACTTAGATGGCATCTAAATGACCTAATCCTAAAGGCATACACAATAGCACAAACATGAAGCATGAAACACCAACCTCTTAACACATTAAAGGGGCATCAAATGTAAGCATTCAAGCATACCATGAGGACTGAAATGACATGGCAAATGGTTCCAAACCACTGAAACAAAGCAAGTAAAGCATGTTCCACACTCACACACCCAAGGCTAACAAGTCAAAATGCAAGGTGGCTATACTAAGCATGTCATGGTCGACCAAAACAACCAAAAATAGAACTTAAGCATGCTAAAACAAGCACAAAAGCTTTACAAAGCTAGGCCAAAATAAGTAAGCATAATAGGCTAAATGCTAGGCACATGTTAAGGCAAATCATGACATTACAAGACATGTATGCAAGGCAAGTATGGTGTGTCTAAACCAACATAAAACAGTGCTATAGTATGGCAAAATAACACTAAATAGCAGCTAAGATATGGCCAACATGAACCTAAATAAGATGCTCACTCAAGAGGCTAAAATGGCCCTTTTCAAAAATAACAAGGAGAGGGGGTGACCCTCTCCTTCGTAGGACCTCAAGACACCATCCTCAGGGATTTCAGTGGTGAGGAGGTCCAAACAAGGTGGTCCCGGAGCTCAACCAAAATGGCACAAAATGGGGCCAAACAAGCCCTAAGAGGGGGTCAAACAACCCCAAAGCTCAAAACACTCTTAAACAACTATTTAGAGCAGGCAAAAACAAGACTTTTATATGTTATACACAAAGTCTAAAAACAGTTGCAAGATAGGTGAAAAAGCTATGCAAAAATGGAAAAAAAAAGGGTAAGATTGTTACATTTGTAGACCCTCTTCAAAAATGGAAGACCAGCAGCTTCCTTAGGTTCAAACCAGTCCAAAACCTCCAAGAACAAGCCCCTTATGCCTCAGCAACTAAGGTATGGTGTAATGGTAGGTGTTTGTGGCCGATGGCAACAAAACACAGCCGGTGGCCTCAAGCCATGGCCGGTGGAGTGTGGGGATGGCCAACAAGCCATTCCCTGCCCTCCAAAGCAAAAACACAAGTGTTTGGTGCAAAATCAAACACAAAACAGTCCAGTCGAGAGATCTTGAGGCAAGGCGCGTAGCCGAGACCTTCGGGAACTCAAGGCGAACACAAACAAGGATGATCACCGAGTGTTCAAACGGTGACGTCAAAGTCTTGAGGACGGTCAAAAATGGGGTGTCTACAGTCTCTCACCATCCCTGTGTGGTTGAGCTTGTAAATGCTTGCTGGTTTTGCTGTTCTGTATAGCTACTTGTTTTGATGCTGATGAATAGGTGTTGTTGTTGCTATATGGTTGCAGCTACTGCTGCTGTATGGTTTGGTGCCAGTGTGGAGACCTCTCAGTACTTTGCTCATCTGTCATTGTACATTAAGCAGTTTGTGGTGTGCTTTTTGTGTGGTCTGTTCTTGGTGAGTTCAGGCTTGGCTGTGTTTCTGTTTTTGGTTGGGTTGTTTTTTTTTCCTCCCTTTGTCTCTGTTTCTATTTGGCTCCTCACCAAATTTGACTTGTTGCTAGCATGTGATTGGACTTTCATATTGGTATCAACTTAGTTGGGATGAGTATGTTTAGCTATGATGCTTCTTACACTTATCTTTTCTTTATTAATGTATTATTGGTGTATCTCTTTTAATCATCAATAAAGTTTTTTTTTTTACTGATAAAAAAAATATATTATTCTTTTGTAATACATACATTGCAACATATTTTTAAAACTAATTTATATAGAGACATATATAAATTATTTTATTTTATTTTATAAAATATTATTTAAAAAGAAAAAAATGAACCGGCGTACAGCAGGGGTCAACTACTAGTTAATTAATATAGAATAGCTACATTGGCTAATTAATTAGTAGTAAATTAAAACTTTGCAAGAAGATATGCTTCTTCTTTTCTTCTTCTTCTTTTTTTTTTTTAATTTCTCTTTTGGGGGTTAAGCAAATAACATTAGCCGCTCATTCAATTATTTATTGTGCACAAAAAAAAAAAAAAAAAAAAAAATCTAACTAAATTTAGGGCACAAATATGAAAACCAGCTTGCACGAGCGCACGAACACACACATACACTCAGAACTTCTCTAGATAGATGCTTTAATTTACTAAGCAAACAATGACAGTCAACATATAAACAAGAAGGGACGGAATTTAGGATTGGCTTGGGACAATAGCAATGGACAAAGGGATGCAACAATAGAAATTAACATATATATAACAACTGAAGACCCTTCATTTTGGCTTTCTTTGAATGCCCAATGATCTATTTATCTACACAGTCCTTATGGCTTATCTCTAGTTTGAGAGAGTAAACTTCACCCTTAAAAAAAACACACACACAAATTGCTCAACAATACAAACATATATCAACTGCTGATATACAATGAATATTAGTATCAGAAATTCAAAATCCCATTATTTATCTGGAAGCGTGTGAAGTCCAGGCAGAAGCGGTGAACAAGCTAGTATCCTTCCAACCTAGCCTAAGTGTGCCATCTCCTTGCACAAGGCTATAGCCATGAATATGAGGGAACATATTAAGTATAAGCTGTGCTTGGGCCATAGAATTCCCACTCATTGGGACTTGCATGAAGCAATTCCTTGCAAGTTCACTCCTCCAATGCCTAAACTTATCCTCCCCACTCCGAGCTGGTCCTCCTATCGCCAATATATTGTTAATCTCCCTATAGAGCAAGCAATGCTCGACATGATGGCGGCTTTGATCATCGCTAGGCAAAACAGCTCCAAGAGAGTCGAAAATGGTGGAGTAGTAATGAAGAGCACCGACAAACCGGTCCAAGAAAGCCCCTCCATGAGCTATGTCTTGCTCAACCAATGTTATCACTCTTGGAGCCAACTCTTGGAGGAGTCTCATTGTCTTCCAATCGGGTCCTGTGGCATCGTACAACGAGTGCTGCAACCAATGCACCGCTGTGGCTTCTCCTCGCCTAATTTGCAACATCGATATATCAATATCACCAAATTTCTTTGCAATTGGGTGGAATTCAAATGACAACCCTAACCGCTTAGCGAAACTAGACAATTGCTTGCCTGTTTCGATCAGGAGCACGATGGAGGACCCCATACCGGTCATTCTGACGTGCGGTGGACCCTCTAGGCGGGTGGCGAGGATGTGAAAAAGCGCGGGCCATTGAAGGCCTTGCATGATATCGAGGTCAATAATATGAACCCTATCGTGGCGATGAAAAGCCTCTAAGATAGCTTGGTTGGAGGTGAAATGAGCAAATTTGATGAAAGGAGAGATGTTGTTGAAGAATTGGAATGAGGAGTGGACACCCTTATGGTTGATCAAAGGGCTACAAATCCCTAACCATGAGTTGATAACCCTACTAGCCATGGCTTTAGAGAAATAAGCCACAACTCTCTCAGCGCAAGAGGGTCCATATGGGGAAGCCATTTGCGTTAACTCAAGCAACATTCTATGAGCCTCACCAAGATTATCAACTGATATAGCAACAGCACACTCCAAAAGAAGTGTGATCAAACTCAAACCCTGCTCATCTAACCTACTCAACCCTTTAGATCCTTCATTGAAGTTGGCTTGATCATCACCAAGCCATCGGATTTGCTCGCCTGGGGAGTCAAAATATGGCCTTTTTGGGATCTTTCTGGGTCTGAACTCGGCTAACAATGGTGTTGGAACGATATTATTGTCGTCAAACACCATTGTTGTGTCGGCTTGGAAGCTCTCGGAGCCGGTTTCTGGCAAGTCTTCGATGAGTTGCTTTGTGACATGTTCGACCCACATGGAGAGTTCGTTTTTCTCTGAGTTGGTGCAGTTGTTTTCGACCATTGATCTTGGAAAGGGGTTGGCAGTAACAGTTGGGTATGGGACATGATTGTAGTCCCATTGCTCATGGGGTTGGATTAAGTCAAGAGCACCATGGACTACCTGAAAGCCTCCTTTCATCATGGTTTTAAAATACTTGGATTTGAGAGAGAGTGAGAGATGGATATGAGAGAGAGAGAGAGAGAGAGAGGAGGAGGAGGAGGGGGAATGAATGAGGTTGTGGTGGGAGGTTATAAAGGAGGGGTGCAGGCCATATTTGGAGGTGAAGTTGGTGTGGATGACGAATGGTGGTGGTCCTAGTCCACTATAATAATTCGGGTTCTACCAATCATGTCAAATTAATAAAAGATAATTTTAATTTTTAATTTCTCAGAACTTTAATTTTTTGAAAAAAGTAAAAAGAAAAATAAAAAGAGTGAGATATTTAGATCTCAGGATTAGTTTGGCCTTGGCTTTTAAATTAATTTTTAGTTTTTTTTTTTTTTAAATCTAAAAAATTGATGTGTTTGAAAATTATTAAAAAGCTGGTTTTTTTTTTTTATATAGTGAAAAAGTGTACTCTTTTTTTTTTCTCCTAAAAATTTATAGTAATTTTTTTAGCTCTTCCAATTTTTATTTATTTATTTATTTTAAGCTTATTTTAGTCAAAAAGTAACTTTTTTTTAGTTAATCCCAAACAAAATTTTATTGGACTTGACGGTTTATGATTACTTGAGACTAATCTGATGCAGTAATTTTGCATCAAGAAGATAAAAAATCTGGACATCACATCTCAATTTTGTTAAATTTGGCTGACTAAATTTGATATAATGATCATGCATTGAGAACGTAAAAAGATAGATCATTGGATCTCAATTTTTTTAGACTAGATTGAATATTATTAGTTGAGATCAAATCTGATGTAGTGATTTTATATCAAGAAGGTAAAATGACAGGACATCATATTTTAATTTAGATAATTATGATTAATCATAGGGTGGTTGGCCTATTGGGTGACGACTGGGGCTTGGAGGTTTACTCCTTCCTAAGTCTCAGGTTCGAATCTCCTAGCCAACAAACGCCTACCTTGGGGTCACGGACCGCAAGGCTTAGTCTGATGCCCTTAAACTGATATAGGATACCCCGCATAATAAAACAAAAAATCCGATGCAATGATGCTGTAAAAAAAATTAGGGTGGATGAAGAAAGAAATGGTCACTTGATAAGAAGATGTTTAAGGTGAATTGTTTAATGCAGCAGCATGGCCGGCATAGCCAGACATATAGAAGAAGACAAGTTACTAATTGACAAAACACACCTCACTTTGGTAGTGATTTTCCTCATTGATTAATTAAGAGATTAGTTTTTTTCTGTTTTTTCAAGTAACTAAGTCATAGCATTCATTCACAGATGTTTTGAGGTCTTCCAACAAACTGAAAATAAAATTATTTTTAAGGAAAGCAAGATTTTAAAAGCATGTATTATAGATGTATATATATTATAATATGAATATGTGTGTGTGGAATTAAAGAGATGTGGAAAGAACAACTACCCACTATATATAACATCAAAGCATACTGTATTCATGGCCCATTTGGCTTGTAAAATAATGATATTTTCTCTGATAAGAGATGTCCTAGAGAAAGAGGCTTATCTCTCACAAGAAATGTGAATGAGTATATTGGCTCCATTGGATACTATTATAAAATGTACACGATTCAAAAGTTTTGAAATTTTGTAAAAAAGTACTCGTATTATTAACCTCATCAAAAAATAATAGCCTATAGTTGCACGATCATTTTTTTAATATTCTCGTGTTTTGAATTTTTTTTTTTTTTTTTTATTGGCAAGGTTTGGAAGAGCATTAAGAGCACGAGGACATGAATTTTGGGTACGTAGGATTTCTAGCCAATTCTAAATGTTTTTGTAGAATATTAAGGGATTGACAATATATATACAATCGTCTAGGTGATATTGTCTTGATAAAATCAATCATTAAATAATTAAGTCCAATGAAATAGGGAGCACAGATTATTTGTTACACTCTCTGCTTATATCCATCACATATTGTCATATTAACAAAATCAATAATGACTTATCAGAGTGAGATAGATGATCGTATAATTGATATGTATGTTGGAATTTCTAATTTCTAATTGCTAAGGTAATGAAGATTTTAGGGTTGATGATGTTTCATGTGTACATAAATTTGGGGTTAGGTTAGGGTTTTGACACCAGATAATAACATCTCTAAAAAAATAATTAATGATGCATTGATATGTTTTTTAATAGTGATTAGGTCTTCCTTACATTGATGGTTTTGGGTTAAGTTGCGGTTGGCGTTTAAACACCCATAACCACTTTACTCAGCCAAAACGACAGTTTAATTTATAAAATATTGCAATCTTAATCAAATAAATAAATAATTGAAGAGCTAGGTCATAAAATTATGTTCATATATAGGTTTTGTTTTGCTTTTCAGGTGGATCTCTTGTCCTATTACATACTAAAATATATATATAATCAACTTCCACATTCTACTCCATTTTATTACAAATTAAATATTAAATCCTCCCCCATAATTTTATTAGCAGCTCTACCTACATAAAATTTAATTATAGAAAAAACATAATGTGAATTGTATTTCTTCTACTTAACCTTTCATTAATATGACTGTACAAGGAACACAGTATATTTTTGTAGAATAAGATTATAAGACATAAATGTGAGACAAATGATATCTTTTATATTTTATTATGTAAAAATCTCTTGTTTACTTCATTCAAATTTTATTTTTGCAATTTCTTATTCTCTCCCAAATAACATCAATCACTCACATGGTGACAATTCTTGATTGGAAATCAAATTGGATAACCTAGCTATAGTAAGAAAACAACATTTGATACAGTGCTAGAGCTTGATTGTAATTTTTTTTTTTTTGAACAAGAAAAAAGGGATCTGAGGTGTCATCACGCCCCCAGTGGGCCCTAACCTCAGGGTAACTGGTTGCCAGTTAGAAATTAATCCCCACCATGTGGGGGACCCACCACCAGGGCACTGTGTAGAGCTCACCTACGCGTCGCAAGCCGCCGAGAGTTTGAACCGAAATACAGAGAGGGAGTCTCCAAAGAGAATACTTCCATATTCCCCAAAATTTGACCCTGGAAAAACCTGAAGAGACCAGGTGATTTCTCCACCAGGTCACCACCCCTGGTGGTGAGCTTGATTGTAATTAAACTATGGAAAATAACGTTTGACTTGGTCATTGATCATATATATATTATCGGAAATTGAAATAAAGAAAGTAGGGGCCACTTTAATTGAGACCACAGGATTACTGTATGAACAAGTGTGACATGCTGGCATTGCATACATGTTTGGATGCCAGAAGGACCAATCATGTTCCATTTTTACTAGACAGTGTGCCCCCCAAGAAAGAGTCATGTGGAGTCCGAGTCTAAGTTGGCAAGAGTTTTTTTTTTTTTTTTTTTTTTTTTTTAAGGGATGTTATTTTAATTACAAAAAATAAAATAATTTATTTTAGTCACAATAAATAAAATATCACATCTAATTCATAATTATTACACTCTTCTCTTATAAAAAAAAGCTAAAAATCCAAAAAATTCTTCCTAAATTAAATTTTTTAATCCAAATTAAAATAATTAAAAAAAATTAAAAAGTCAAAAAATTAACCCAACGGAAGCCATTACTTTCAAAACAAAATATATGCTATGCATTTAAATTTGATTTAGCATAAGTCTGTACGACTTATCTATCTCATTTGCTTTCACATATTTATCTCATATTATCACATCATGAAAATTATTAGTTAGAATGGTACAAACAATTGCTTGTCAACGTGAATCATACTCAAAATAAATTTAATTTATATATTTTATTTTTTAAATTTTTTTATTTCCGTGGGCTAATTGTATTTTTTCTAAATTTCAAAAAAGTGAATATAATTTAACCTATATCTGTATATATATATATGTATTAACTACTTGAGATTCGTCTTTTCTTTTTAATTTTATCATTCATTTTGAATAATTTATTAATGGTAGCTGTACGAACGCGAAATAATCTTCTCATATAATCTTGTTAATCAAGTTTGCACTCCTCCAAACAACGTTACTTTGCCACCTGAAAACACAAACATGAGCTAACCTGCGGGTGTGTGCCGGAAACCCCTCCGATGTCTAAGTCAGCAACTAGACAATAGACAATAAGCTCTGTGTATTCTAAAGTAAGAATTGTGATACCTGTACATAGATCCTGCTATGAGTTTTTATAGATTCAGCCTGGCACAATCCTAGTAGGATTCCAACTCTCTTTATAAGAGTCCTCCTAGGAATCACACTCCCAATGAAGAGTGTCTATCTTGATAACATTCTACTCACTACCAATCAAGTGAGATGGTTTGCACAATCCTAGTAGGACTCTACTCTCCTTAGCAGAGTCCTCCTAGGAATTGCATTCCCAAGGATAATGCATATTCTGATAACACTCTACTCACTGCCAACTAAGTGAAATGGTTATCACCTTGCTTGGCTCACTACGTCTAGCCGAACTACCTGGCGCAAATAACCTGACCGGGCCGTACGATCACCAATTGCTTTGAATCCTCTCGCCAGGCTACCTCTAGCTCGGCTTCTTATATGTGTCCGACATAGCACTTCGGCTTGCCCACTGACCGCAACTGGAGCTCACCGATCGGCCTATCAACCATTGTTCCTACACTGAGCTATCTTGAGCTCGTAACTTGGCTCGCAACGCGACCCAATATTCAGAAACAATGCCTCCTAGCCCGGCCCAATTTGGCTATACAAATTACTTTCTCAATTGCCCCTTAATTCCATCTGCGAAGCATGATTGGGATTACTTTCCTCTAGCCGAGCTAAAAACGCTCAACTCTGCCGAACTAGAGAAGTTGTTCAGTCTCACAATTCCCAACAAGTCTTGTCAGTTGCTCAGCACATCCTTCCATTAATTTGGCATGTTTGATACGACGTCATTCCTAGGACACGTGGCGTATCCCTATTAGCCCCGTTCTCTTGTTACAGGCGTCATGTACCTCCTAAAAATTTGAATAGCCCTGCATTTTTGCTTTCAATGTATATAATTTTTGAGTTTGCAATTGTACGGCAAGTCGTTCTTTTTGTGTCTCGCTGAGCAGACTAACTCAGTTTACTAACCCTGCCAACCTTCCTTGGCCGAGATAA